GAAGTTGAGGTGGAGATCGAGTTGACTGTCATTCTATACTCCGTTGTATGATGATGCGTAGTGTAGCGTTGCAATTTGGTCCTCACATGATTTGTACTTCCTGAATCCAGCCAGCTAGCCAGCCATCCAGCCAGCCGGTCTGTTCCGGTAGTAGTTTTGAATCCAGTGTATCCTTTAGTCTCTCTAGGATGATGCGGCTTAATATTTTGCTTTGTTTAGGTGGACAGTGGTGGAGCGTGATTCCACGCCAGTTTTTGCACACAGTTAGGTCTCCCTTCCTCTGGAGTTTGACAAGTTAGCCCTTCTTCCAATCAGTTGGCAGCTACCTTCCTTTCGTTCCAGACCTTCTGCAATAGTGGTGTGGTGTGAGCATGTCCTCTGTTGTCTCTGCGTCTGTTCTCAGTGCTTCTGGTAGGATATCATCTGGTCCTGCTGCTTTCCCGCATCTCAGTAGCTTTATGACGCTCAGAACTTGGACTTTGGTCGGAGGACTTGTGTTCAGTGGTAGTTCTGTAGCTGGGCTGCAGGCGGTATTTGTGGACGAAGTGCAGATGGTGTTGGTGCTGGTGGTCGATTCAAAAGCTTTTTGAAGTGGACAGCCCATGGTTTCCTTTGTTTATCTTCTTTGGTTATTAAATTTCCTTCATCATCTTTTATTGGTTTCATCTGTGTTGATCTCTTCCCAGACAGCGAGTAACCTGGTTATCTGATACAATGTTGTCAGGTCTCTGTCTCTCCTACCTGCGGCCTGTTTTGCTTCACTTACCAGTATGTCGTAGAAGTGTCTTTTGCCTTTGCGTGCACTCGTCTACACTTCTTTGTACAATATAGTGTTTTATAGGTTGTTTTCAGTTCCTCTTTCCATTATTCATGCCTGCACTGCACTTCACTGGTTCATCTTCTGCTTCACAATCATCCTCTCCGTCCTCTATCAGCTTCCATGTATCCATCGAGATCCATTCCTTATCTTCTTTCCTCTTCCTTCCTAATATGGTGGTGCAGGCTTTTTTCCACATCTCTTTCGAAGAGTGCCAGTGTTCTTCCACGCAAGTTTCTTCAGGGATGTCCCTCGGTATCTCCCATTTTGTCTTGATGGCTGCCGTGAAGATGTCCGTTATAGTTTCGTCCTTCAGTTTCCGAGTATTGTACTTGAACTGCGGTCTATCACCAACTTCCTTGAAGGCTTTCAGCTTGATTTGGAAGGTGAGTTTCTTGCACTAGATAATGGTCTGGGCCTACATCTGCTCCTCTTCTTGACCTTGTGTCAAGTGGGCTGAGTCTCTACTTTCTTGAGATTGAGATAAAGTCGATCTGATTTTTAGTGTATCCATCTGGTGAAATCTATGTCGTGATATGATTATGAATAGTGATAATTTATGCTGGGAACATCGTCATCAAGTAAATAATACTGTATAGCTCAATATGTTCAATAAATCAAATAAATAAACTTATATTGGACATTTGAAATGCTTTCTTCAATTCTCAATCAAGCCAATTCTAATGTCTACACCTACACTCTGGTAATCACACTTGTTTGGATGTTTTGCGATTAGTTTTATAGTAATATAGTTCCATAGTTGTTTATTAAAGCAATATCTTGCTAAGATTATTGTCTGTTGGACCTCACCTTCCTTACAACTCTACAGTTTGGCATTGTTATGACTGATTTTTCATCTGGATTATTATTTGTGTTTCAACTGGTTATCTCAAATTATTAGGCTACTGTTAAACTTAATCTCGTTTTCAACACGCTTATATCAAAGTATCCGTTCAAGAAGCTAATGCGCTAAAAAAGACCGATTTATTTCGACCAGTACAATAATCATCAGAAAGTTAAGGTTATCAGTAAATAATCAAGGATATGCATGGAATAAAAGAAAAAGAAAACCGAAGTGACGTCTGGATATTCATCAACAAGCTTTAAGTATGACCAATAGAATAACAGTTAGAGATTTTTAAAACTCATCTCAAGGTAGGTATAAGTTTATGTGGACTAAATAATACTGTATCATTGTGCGCTATATATCAAATAAACACATCTAATATGGAACTACATTCTACCACAGTGCCCAAGTTTTTCACTTATATTAATGAAACTTATGGTCTTCCTGTTCGAAGGCTAATCAATAAACTCACACGACTTTCACAAACTGAAGCACGTTTCACAAATCATCGTATTTTCAATATTCGTTGCATGAAAAATCAAATTATCCCTAAATACCTTCGCATACGAATCCCAATATATACTGACAAAATCCAAAGGGCAATAGAACATGTCAGCAAACTATGTCTGAAAGAAGAAATTCACAGGATTATTAAGAAATTAAGTACCATTCGGAATAAAATTGAACAACTTAAATGTAAAATTATGAAGATAGTAAACTGCAGAGACTATGGATTTATAATAGAAACATCAGACAAAGCAAGATTAGCTACTCTCAAGAAATCTAGAAGAAATCAAATCAAAAAGTTCAATAAACTAATGCAAGAAAAATATGCTTCGGAAAACAATGAAATTACAAAGGAAACATCATCGAACATCGATAGAACAAAGTGGGTAGTCAATCTCTCCTCGAAAGCCTTAAGCTCAGCTGAGATGAAAGTACTTGAAAAAGGACTAAACTTCAACATAACAGTAGATCATCTAAAACCAGAAGATGTCATACCTAGCATAGAAGTAGCATTAAGCTCGGTGGATGTGACAACTGCTGAACAGGTTAGAGCGCAGTGTGCATTAGCACTTAAAAAACAAAAGAAGACACAGCGAAACTTAACGAAACTGGAAAATTCAGCTTTAAACAATCTACGAAAGGATAATAGTATAGTAATTGCTAAATCTGACAAAGGTAACTCAACAGTAGTTATGGACAAATCGGATTATCTTAAAAAAATGGATGAACATATCCAAACAGGGCCATATGAAGAGATTAAGAAACCTATAGATACTGTCATGAATAAAATTAAGAAATCTACAACAGATCTGATACGCCGACTGAAGCCATCTCTAGGTAAGTCCGAATGGTTTACTTTAATGCCAAAAACTAATAATCCTAGCAGAATTTACGGTACTATTAAGGTTCATAAAGCAGGTTATCCCATTAGGCCGATAGTTGACTTCCGGAACACACCAACATATGAGATATCAAAGTATTTAGCATCAGTATTACGTCCTGTTAGAGACCGTTCCAACTCTAGACTAGTAAATTCTTACGAGTTGAAACAAAAACTTAATGACCTGCACATAGAAGAGGATGAAAAAATGGTTAGTTTTGACGTAACAAGTCTTTATACTAAAATACCAATCAATATGGCACTGGAGGCAGTCAGAAATCAACTAGATACTGACTCACAACTTACTCAAAGAACCAAGGCATCGGTTGGTGAAATCATGTTAGGAGTGCAGTTATGCTTAACCTCGACAGTCTTCAAGTTTCAGGGAAAGATATACAGACAAACAGAAGGAGTAGCAATGGGATCACCAATATCCCCTATAGTAGCAGATATATTTATGGATAGTTGGGAAGATATGGCTTTACGAACATATAATCCGACACCTAAGATATGGTGGCGATATGTAGATGACACATTTACAGTGTTGAAATCGGAACATATCGACAGTTTCTTGACACACATAAACTCAGTAGTTAACGCAATCCAATTCACCTACGAAGTAGAAAATGAACAAGGAGAATTACCTATGTTGGATTGCAGAATAAAACGAAGGATAGATGGTGGTTTAGATACTACCGTCTACAGAAAACCAACACATTCTAACAGGTATCTAGACTTCAAGTCATCTCATCCAGTGTCAGTTAAAGCGGGTTTAGTCAAATGTCTAAATAACAGAGCTGAGAAACTCACTAGTCATTGTAAGGACTTAAATAAGGAATTGAAACACATAAAAGAAGCGTTAATAATAATAATTATCCCCATCATTTTATTAAGAAATTCACACGGACACATAAGAAGCAAAATAATAACACTAATACAAATACAAATAATAGTGACAACATAAGTAGAAAGGAAATCAACACCTCTATTGTGATACCATACAAGGAAGGAACATCAGAAACCATACGTAGGATTCTCAACAAGGTTGGAATTAGGGTGGCATTTAAACCAACAAACTCACTTAGAGGTAAGCTTTGTCGGCTAAAAGATCCGATAGAACCAATTAAGCAAAATAATCTACCAAATTCCATGTAATGACTGTGAAGTCAAATACATAGGTCAAACTAGCCGGTCGGGGTCAGTTAGATTAACAGAACATAGGAATTTAGCTAAACATAGAACGACAGACCCCAATAAGATCAATAACCTAGAAAAACACTCAGCCATTGCATTACATTCATTAACACACAACCACACAATAGGATGGGACAAAACCACTGTACTTAAGTCTAATATAGCTAGGTGGAGAGAGAGATTAATTACTGAATCTTTGTTCATCGAATCCACACCCAACACATGTAATAGGAATGACGCAACACCTATACCAGAGATATGGAAAACTTTACTACCAATCAAAAAAACAAAGAAAAATCAGGTGACAGGACTATAAAATCAGATGTCGAAAGAAGTGTGATTACATTGATATGATTATGAGCAATAATTTATGCTCGAAACGTAATCAAGTAAATAATACTGTATCACTGTGCGCTTTATATCAAATAAACAAATCTAATATGGAATTACATTCTACCACAGTGTCCAGGTTTTAAACTTATATTATGTGGACTATGGTCGAGATTTAACGGAGCAGTATCGAAAATATTGGACATTGAGCAGAAAGTTGACAGTAGAAATAGTTTGTATTTGTGTAAGTCATATCGTATTTGAAGTGAAATAACTCGAATGTTTCGTATCCACATCAAGGTATCTATCTGAAATAGTTGCTACTCAGGTCACCTCGTAATTTTAACAGATCTGTGAGAGCGCTGTTTCCATGTACAAGAACTTTCCTGAAACAACGGGTACATAGAGCAACTTGTAATCCGGGAATGCTTCGTTTCGGCATGAAAACTCTTGATGAAATATTATCTCTGCTTGCACCAACAGAACTAGAACCAACTGTAGATTCTTTGATCAGACGTAAAGATCAGTGTTATCTTCAAAAATCCAAAGATCGACAAACTAAAATGTTCGAACGAATGCTTCAGCAGAAATCAAGTCTTCAAAGCCACCACAAAGGAAACAAATCCAATAGCATAGACATAAGTGAGGTGGTAGTGAATCTTTCTGATAGAAATTTGTTTGAATATGAATCATCCCTCCATCAGAAGGGTCCGAATTTTAATTTGAACAAACCATGTTTATCAGCTTTTGAAACTACACCTACAACCGAACCAGCTTTAAAAAGTATAGCATGTGAAGCAGTGAATGAAGTTAGATACAAAATTTCAAGCAAATTATTACTCCAGAAGTCAAGTACAAATAATGAGGACCGTTTTGTTATCAATCAGTGAGATAAAGGTAAGACTATCATCGTCATATGTCCAGATAAAGGAAACCACCCAGCGATAATGAATGAAAGTGACTTTAAAAACAAGGTAAGGGAACATCTGAATGCTGGTCCTTACCAGAAGATAAATGCTATAAAATCAGGAACCATAATTAAAAAGCTGAAAACTGGAACTACCAGCCCATGTGAATCTCATGAACTACCGACAATTAAAAAGACAAATGTACCTTTCAGACCAGTTGTAGATTTTTCTAGCTGACCAATATATAATTTAGCAGGATATATACGAAGAATCTTGAAACCATACGACAAGGAATTAAAATGTGTGAAGAAAATTCCTTCCGAATTCAAGGAGAAAACCATCCTATGATGCATTGAAGAAGACGAGATAATGATAAGTGATGTCTGTTCTTTATTTATTAACGTATATACTAAAAATTCATTAGACATCATTTACAGTCTACCATTGTCAAACATTGACCTAACATCACGATGTCCGTCAGATCCAGGAGAAATCTTAAAGTCTCTAGGATTATTTTTACGATTTATTATTCATGTTCCGAGGAGATTTGTACAAACAGACAGAAAGTATAGCAATGGGATCTTCGGTATCCCCAAAAGTAGCTAACTTGTTCATGCATTCGCTAGGGACAAATGTGGTAGCCGAATATAAGTGAAAAACTTGGATACTGTGGAGGAGTACAGTTCCATATTAGATTGTTTATTTGATATAGCACGCTGCGTGAAGAACTGGATCAACACGGTGATAATCCCGTATCGGAAAGATACGTTGGAAGAAATGAGAAGGATTCTCAACAAACATAACATAAGAGTCTGCTTTTGTGAACAAATACCGTACTCTCCAACTTAGTAATATGTGAAGACGTAGTACCTAGAGAAAATCAACAAAACTGAGTTTATGAAATCAAATGGACAGATTTTACTGCAGTATATGTGGAAGAGACGGCTAGTTAAAAAATATACGCGTGAACCAGCATAGACTATGCTTAAAGCAAATTCCGGAAATCTCGACAAATGTTAGAAAGCTAGAAAACAAACCGACAATCACGTTACACTCCGTAGAAATGGACCACAAGATTGACTTTGACTGAACCAAGGTTCTACAGAAAGCTTTTCGGTCACACCAAGAAAGGTTGACAGCCGACACCTTATATACCTAGTAAAATCCAGGTACCTTGAATAGACGAGATGGAGTATAGTTAGCTGTCTGTTGATAATTACTTATTAGTAAGCAGAAACAATGACTTTTGCATTTTCTTTCAACACCAGTCTGAACTTCATTATCTCTGCATCAACAATAACACACTGTATTGATTTGATTCATTATGATCATTATCGCCACAGCTATCATTACTACCATCCATTTATGCTGTGTTCCGATAAATCAGTGAAAAATCCGTTGACACCATTCATATCTATATACCAAGCGAACTGACATACTTATCCACATCATGTGCCCTATAGTACTTATAAAATTACCGAATGACTACAGTGTCACCTTTGACCTTTTGGTTGGGTATTTGCAATCAAGGAGAATATGAACAACGACAAACGCACACACACTCAAGGCAAACAACATGAGACACGAAATTTCACAGCGAATTATAAGTAGTCATTTTTTCTAAAACAATGACTATACAAAGAGGATTAGACAAGAAGGTCAAGTACACGTCTTCGGTTTCATTTATACATATATAAAGCTCGGAACAGACTTCAGCGTGAACCGTTGCAAGACACAAAGCTTTATCAAGGACTTAGCCAAAAATTAGCATTTGAGGTTTCAATTCAGTGAAAGTCTTCAGTAATGGAATTGACAGACTTCCTCAAGAAAAGTTTAATGTCAGATAGGCACAATCATTATCTGTTGTAACTGCGACTGTGTTATCTAAAACTTGGAAATGAATCACCCTGACAAAACACATCATAGTGCGACTTCCACAGAATAAGTCTGCTGAAAACTACTTGATCCACATCATACTAAATAAGCTGATTTGAAGAAGCTAAATTTCATATTTACCCAGTTGTTATTTTTGGCACCAATAAGTCTCAAATTAAAGGTTAAACGACTGGTAGAGAATACTCCATCTATATTACAGATGGACAGTTGAAAAACTCCTCACTTTTGAGAAATATCAAAGTAAACAGTTTAATTTCTACACACTTATTAAGTTCACCATCCATTTTCTGGTATACTTGTTGATTCAATCAAGTCAGATAGATAACCAGATCCAGCTGAATTACAAATATTCAGATGCATTTGTTCGGCTAAAACATTGATGATTGATAATAAGCAGAGATATCATTTAGTGTTGAGTTAACTGTCATCTGCCTGTGAGAAATCTTCACATCAGTGTAACTCGATCCTAACTACTCATATTTATCAATAGTTTACTTATCATCATATTAGTATCAAAAAGTTTCAAAATTTAGAATTCAGAGTTATACTGCATTCATATATGTATCCTTGAAATAAATTATTTGCAAATCAGAACTTACATACAACCACTTTGTCGCCATACCGATAGTCAATAATCAAGTGGAATGTGGTAGTGAATTATAACTAGCAAGCCAAATTAATTTGTATAGTCTTGATTATAATAAAACCCAACAAAGTGTTGTATTCGACCAGTCTTAGAAAATCAATAATACAATTCATCTAATTAATTACAATTATCAACGATTTGCGCGGAATCACGCTCCACCACTGTCCACCCAAACTAAGCAAAATATTAAGCCGCATCATCCTAGACAGACTAAAGGATACACTGGATTCAGAACTACTACCGGAACAGACTGGCTAGCTAGCTGGCTGGCTGGATTCAGGAGTACAAATCATGTGAGGACCAAATTGTAACGCTACACTACGCATCATCATACAACGGAGTATAGAATGACAGTCAACTCGATCTCCACCTCAACTTCATCCACTCTGAAAAGGTCTTCGACAGCGTCGACAGAGAGATAATTCGCCAGGCAACTGCCTCAACACTACGGTTTCAGTGTCACAGACCTTTATCAACCTCACTCAACAACTATATGAAGACGCCACATGCCAGCCAAGTAATTCACAATGGGAAGCTCAGTGATGCTTTTGAAGTGAAGACAGGAGTGAAACAAGGCTGACTACTATCACACATGATATTCCTGATTGTGGTCGACTGACTGGATCATGCAACAAACAGTGGAGAGCTGTGAAAAGTGGGGGATACGCTGGCTGGACTAGGAGAAAAGAATCTACAAGATTTGGATTTCGCCGATGACTTGTGTCTGATGTCTTGTCACACAAACTTGAAGATCTACAGGCGAACTAACAAGTTGGCAGAAGAGGCAGGGCGGCGAAGATGCGACTTCAAGTGAATATAGAGAAGACAGAGGTGATGAGGATACCCAACCAACAACAACAAACTCCAATCACCATCAATAGGAGAAACCTGAAGGAAGTAGCCTCCTTCACATATCTAGGTAGCACTGTTTCAATTGCAGGTGGCACAGATGAGGACGTCAAAACCAGCCAGGATCGGAAAGACTGCATGGCAGGCGTTCATTAACCTGAAACCAGTGTGGAGATCGAGTTCACTCAGCGTAAAGTGTGGACAACATCCGATTTCCACCACCAACCCAATCAAGTCAGTGCTTCTATATGGCTCAGAGACTTGGCGCGTTACGAAACTCATTTCCAACAAACTACAGACAGACATTCATCATCAACTGCCACCTACGCTGGCTCGTTAATCAAGCTCAGATGGCCAGAATGATAAGAATAAGCAACAAGGAACTCACTCTGACTGGCTGGTAACGAACCAACCAAGAACCTATCACTCAACAAATATGCAGTGGAAGGAAGTGGAGATGGATTGGATTGGGCATACACTGAGAAGGCCGACTGGGGATACCACGCGTCAGGTCAAACACTCGAGTGGAACCCAGATGAGAAGAGACGAGTTGGGCGTCCCAGCTGAGGGTGACATGGAGGAGATGGTGTGAGGAGGAAATGAGAGCTTGTGGGTTGTGGTGGAGCCAGGTTGAAAAGATTTCAGATAAGAGAGTGGGATGGAGACGTGCTACTGAAGCCCTGTGTTCCACTATGAACGCAAGGGCAAATAATAACAATGAATCTTACTAAAAAGATCACTAACTATTGATATTGTTCACTTTCGATTCTTAAGAAACAACTAGAAATATTCTCAAGGTGGACCATTACATGTAGTGCTTCAGAAGTTATGTCGATTTAATCATATGAAAGAAGAAGAGGCATTTTTCAGCGACTTCATTTACAATGTTTTACAATGGTAAATACATACAATTATTTTGATGAGAATTCCTACCAGTCAATCACAAAATGGTTAACAGAAATTACTTGTAAGGAGATAAGTGTGTGGACAACACTTGAATTCGTTGACCGTCATAGAAATGTATATATGTCTAGGTAAAGTATGGTATCACTTGATATCAATTCGGTTTTCACCTACGTTCCTCTAATGGAAACTATTTGCTTCATATGCATATACATTGAAATTAACAACTTGAAGGTTGGAATACTGATCTATCACTTGAAAGAGAATTCTAAAATCAATATACTAGAAAAGAAATACTTCTTCGTCGAAACATGTCTTTCGTTATCCATGAAAGACTTATTACTAAGATGCATGTCTAATGTCCAAGCTACATTCAGAGTCTTGATACATAAACAAAAGGATGGTATGATGGCTAGAAGATCTCCCCTACACTCGTGACTTGCAGACTGCCTAATAGACAGTTTAGAAAACGGCCTGCTTCAGTCGATAATCGTCGGTTTTCATTGATACGAAAAAAATGTAGATAATGCCTTATTTATCTGAGAAAATAAAACATGATTTGAATCATGTTCTACATGTATTCGATAATTGTCAGTCTGCCATCACACTGACTCTCGAGTTGAAGAATGAATCGAAAACTTCATTTTTAGATGTCCAACTAATTAGAAGAAAAACTGATGGGACACTA